ACTGTAAATAATTGAGAAAAAAATAAACTTATGCACTAAACCCCCTCATCAAATTTCTGAACTACAACGACCACTTATATTTTGTCTGTTTTCTATTATTTATTTAATTCAGGTAAAATGTCCACAATATTATGTAAAAATATGTACCAGTACTGGGTTACGAAAATACTATTTAGTTATTAGTGTTTTGAAGCCTTCATGGGTGGATCTCATAGAAAATGAGAAGATACATTTTTTTAAAAACTCCCGGTGGGTCCTGACGATATCTGTGTCAGTTCCGGTCTTATCCCTAGTTTATAGCTACTATTTTTCTCATTCCTTTAGTGCAATTCAATTGTGTTTTACTCCTAATGATTCATGGGAAACTTTTAGTAGCGACTCTCTTTCCCATATAAATTTCTTATGTGGTCTCCAGCACACAACTTTTTTTTTTTTTAACTTCTTATCAATGAATTTTGTGTTTTATAGACACGGTCAAATATTTTACAGCATCTTTGATTCAACTACAATGCAGAGGAAGTGGATTTTGAAGCCTGAGAAAACAATATGGATGAAAAAAAAGAGTAAAAGACACATATTATCTCCCAGAAAGAAAAAGGTAATGACAATAAACTGTGCTTGTAAATTAAAACTAATCATGATATAAAAATGTAAAATTGTCCTTGATTTGACTATTTGTGGTGACTGATGCAGCTCGTCTCACTAGAGATCCTCATATTGTTTTTTTTCCTTCTTGGTAGTCCTATGTTAGGTGATCAAAATTTATATCTACTATTATTATTATCCAAGTTTACCTCACAACAGTCTCAGATTGGAATAGAATAAAAAGTTGTTTATTTTGTAGAAATGGCATTACAATGCCTCTGCTCAGCCCATAATGATTCCAATCATAACTGTTATGCCATTTAGAGAAATTAAGTCTCATTATAATAAGGGGGGGTCTAATTAAATGTGTTTATTATCCACAGCACTTAAAAAGACTTACATATTCAAAACGCAACAGTGTTTTTTACATAACAGGTATTAACTCACTGTTTAGCACAAGAAGGTAAGAGGCAGTATTAAACTATTGCTTTTAAAGAATTATTATATTGGTTAAAAAAAAAAATTTTAAGATAAAACTTGTTAACAGGGCTGTAGAGCAGACTTATCAGTTTGTAGCATCTCGTTCGACTGATTCATTTTTCCTTGTGCTGACCTGTAAGGTCTCATCTGGGTTGATAGAGTTACAGGGCCAGTTTGCTGAGTTGATGGGATGGGGTGGTGGTGTTTTTGATAGGGAAATGAGAAAGGTTATTGAAAAGAAGAACAATCTTACTTCTTCGCTGACAATAACAATTGGTCCTAACTAGGATTTTAAGATGAGATGCGGAAAGATGGTGTGGCAGGGCATTTCAGCAATTAGACTGGCAAGCAGTTGTTTAATTCTACTTTTTAGTTTGATGCCTGGGTAAAGGGCTATGTCAATATACCAGCGATTTTGTGAGCAATCGTTAAAAAATTCTTTTTTTCTGGAAAATTTACAGATTAAAATGTTCATATTAAAAAGTAGAAAATAAAAAAAATGCTTACTAACTTAATTTAATTGCAACTAGGGCTAAACCAGGTGCAGTTTTTTACACCGGGTCCAGGTATTTTGAGAATATATCTAGTTGGTTCAAGTGTTACAAAAAATAAGTTAATTTCTCATTTTCTATACCATAATTTAATAATTATGTCAGCCTTTAAGCAATAGGCATACGGACAGTCCTACACTCTACCTATCGGCTTTTAAACAATGAGCCATGAAAGTATTGAAAGCTCGCTGCATGACAGCCATTTTTCTCTCTCAATGCTATTAATATAAAACGTGGAGTAAGGGAGCGGGGGTGTTTGTTAAGAGGAAGCAGATGGAACCAGAAACAAGATATATATAAATGATCCTTTGGCTTCATGGGGTTCCTTACTACCCTTTGGCACATAATTTATAAATTGATTAATTTATTTCTCTTTTGGATTGTGGAGCAGCAAGAATTTAGTCATGAAATAGTAGAACAAGGTATGTTGAAGCTTGAATCGAAAGACAGAACGTTTCGGCATAGAGCCATCTTCGGCGAACAGGACAAATGAAAATATGACAAGAAATAGAGCACAGTAAAAAAAAATGTAGTCAGCTCCAAGCAAAAACACCCTGCTTCAAAGCTCTGCTCCACAACCCTGCTTTTAATAATTATTCTTCACTTTTTAATGAAGGTGTTGTTGTTGATTTATCAGTTTTTCTAGTATATAATATTTTTAATAAGTTATCTAACCGGTCCAAGAGTCATAAGTGCTTGTATTATTAATGTATTATTCATAATCCATTAACTCAATTTAAAAACAATTTAGCTGAAAAGATTTTTTTGGGCAACCTTAATTTTTTAAAGTAATCAGATATGCTTAATGCACATGTATCATTCATTATTATTATGAATACAGTTCATCGGGTATATCAGAGACAGAGCAGGCTGTGCAAACTGGTATCACAGTTGCGGAATTGGGCTCTGGGACAAATGAGATTGGGACATCAGGTTATGAATCTGTAATGCCATCAGATGCATCTGGCTTCACAATTACATCCATACAGAGTCAATTAAGCAACCAGTGTCTTACCCAAGTACCTGATGAGGTAAGCATATACAAAAAGGAAATCCAGGAAATGCTTAATCATTCAAAGACCTTACTTTTCATAAATATCCAACATACTATTGACATTCAAAGTATTAAGTTACCTTTACCCCACCCAGAATGCTATAATACTTTGGTTCTGCTAAATTTATTTCTGTCAATTGATGTCCAAGTCAGTAAAAATATGCAATTATAAAAAGTAGCATTTAGTTTTAATTTTAATCCTAACTAGGTTGATAATACTAAAAGTTACAGTGGGTTATTGTACGTTCCTACATTAGCTTTTATCTTCTCTTCTGAACTAACTGCTGAATTGTTGGAAATGACAATGGCTTTTGTTTGGAATATATAATCATTAATTGTATTAGCTATTGAGTGTGTTTAAACTGAATTACATTTTTACAAACTTTTCATAAAAACAAATTTGTAATTTTTAGGGGTTAAATGACAAATGAAAGAAATATTATTTGCTGGCTGCTTTTGAAGTATAAAATCTATGTATAATTTAGTTGTATTTTCCTCCTCAGTATACTAATAATGCTACATATCGCAAAGAGCTTTATTTTGAATACAATGAAGCACACCAGGAGTTTGTTGAGAGTCCTGAAGTCTCTATTGCGTAAGTATAGAAGCTTAATTAACAAGCTTTTGTAAAGGCAGAAAGAAAAAAATCCTCACTTTGTCTCATGTCTCACTCTTTTATTTTATTAGGATTGCACAGATGAGCAAATTACATTTTTACCATACATTGGCATCACAAGATTGGTCAATGCCCATCAATTGGTTGCCCATTATGTATAAAGTCCTTTAGTAAATAAACCATTATAATAAAAGGGACATTTTTCTAATATTTATTAAAAAGTTTGGATTTCTATAGATCATAACAAAAATAGTACTGTAAAATTTTTATCATATTGGTATAAGGGTCTAAATTTTACTAGCTCAATTTGTATTTCTTCTGCATTGGTTAGGGGCACAGCATAACAAAATAAGCATGAGCCAACTGTGTCATCTTTAATTTAGAGGTACAGCAATTAGTGGGGCAAGGTAAAGAGTTGTATAAAATATATACATCATATGGTGATCATCATGTACCTTTTTTTTTCTGGGTCTATTCCCATGACGCATAAACATTTTTGAAAACTCATTCTAGTTACCTTCTATACGTGAAGTGTAGAATCTAATATTAATGATAAAAAAACTGGTCCTTATTTTTTACCGGAACATTAAGATGTAACTTAATCTGATCTGAAAACTCAAATTCTTCTCTACACTTACAGACTGAAATTAGTGGCACATATTTTAACCTTTTGAGACACAGGATTTAGGCATTTTTTTACAGTGTAACCTGGTGATAATTGGTGCCTTAAAACAGACTGCATTAAATAACTGGTTTAGCTGGGTTTAAGTTTAACAATATTGCGTGTGAATAGGACTGGGATATTTTGAAACTAGTAAGATAGGTGATTTCGTATTTTAAAACTGATTTTTTAATATCCCTTGAGGTAAATGAAATATATGGTGTTAAAGTTTAGTTTAATTTCTGATTTTGTTGTACGAGATTATATTATTATTATTATTGCAGTGGTCTTATATAGAGCTCTTTTATGTACTTTTAGAAAAAATAATTCACGTGCCAATGAGAATACCAAATTTCGGGAACAATGCTATGACTTGTTATATCATAATTCACATTGTAGCAGGGTCCCAATCATCTCATGAGCTATGTATTAAAAATGTATTTCTGCAAAACATAAATGTGTGGCTTAACTCTAGAGACTGCCATCCTAGTTTTCTATACAGCTTTGCTTAAAGTTTGTGCCAGCTTCAGTAAAACATTTGACACCTTGTAAACAAAAGTAGTCAAAAAGGTACATTTGTACAAATTTTTTTTTTATTTAACAGGCATATTGAGAAAGGTATGATAGTAGAGTTATCCTGGCATACTTGGAGGAGCCTAAATGTTAAACAATGATTGCTTATACATATTGGGGATAGTAAAGTTAATGGAGGTCATGCCAATGTTTTCAACAAATGGTAATGATGGTATGTTGGATAGCATTATTCAATGAAATCCAATATGTAGGAGGGGAGTTCACATTCAAAATTTATTGGTAGCATATACCCGAACTTCTGCATCCTTAAAACTTTTCTTATAATTGATATGTATAGCTTTGAATATTAATAGAAGATAAGCAATGTTTACCCACATACTTTTTTACTCATTGTCAAACATGATCATGTGCCATAAATTATTTTGTCTTATAGATTATATTGAATTTTTAAAAATTGCTTGTGTTTAAGCACTATATTAGTTGCATTTGTAAAATTACAAAACATTTCAATTTTATTAGACACGCCAACCAGGATGAGCAGGAAGATCTCAGTGAGGTGGCTTCTGAAATTGGAAACACTGTAATGGATACAGAGTCTCAGCTTGCTATCAACTATAGAAGATCAGAAGATGGAGCAAGTTTAACTGCTGGTGGTGATACGCCCGAAGTTTCAGAAAGATCATACAATGTATCGTATACTTCCATTGAGAGTTGTCTATCCCCTTCTGCAGATGACACAGAGAATAACGGACAGGATTTTGAAAGTATTGAGGACCTGCAAACTTCAGAGGTCAATGACACTCTGCAAAATACAGATCATCGTCAAGAAAATGAGGTTGTCAATATGCAACCAGAGCTTGTCAATGCAACTGAGGTATAGTCTTTGACCTGATTACTTGGGCTTAAGTATAATAGTGATAGCAGGGGTGGGCAACCATTTTGTGCAGAGGGCAACATGGCAATTATTTATTTTTTTGTGGGCTGCATGATAGTTTTTTAAGATATGCCTTTGAAGATGGGCTTTGAAAAGTTACCCTGAGTTCGGTTGAAAAATAACAGGTTGAATAATTTTTTAACTATAATTTATTTTTGTTACACTTTGAATATTTTACACTATGATTATTACTTTTCAAAGGCTTTAAGAGCTAATCATTACAATTTAAAATTTTTTATGACAAAGTTAATCCAGTTTCCGGAAAGTATTGTGGGCCACATTTAACATGTCAGCGGGCTATACATCAACCCACCCCTGAGTTAAGGAAACATTAAACAAACGTTTTAATCCATTGTAGAAATTACTACATTATATTTTATTTCTAGTTGCAGTCATTGCTCGTTTGTCAAAATAATGAAATAAAATTTTGCCTGTATGATTGGTAAAAATGTTTATGGAATACAATAAAAGATAAATGGCTCTTCAAATTTTTATTTAAAAAAAAACTCACTGAACTCAAATTAATAATGTTTTACATCTAGATATTTCTTGGAATTGACTTGCATAATAGTTAACAAAAATCAAATAGATCATAGTTTGTCAAAGACACACACACAAATTTAAATAACATCAGAAAATGTTACCTTTATTTTCTTTACAAGGAAAGAGAAAGTCAAGAAACAGACCCTATTTATAATGATGTTGAACTCTTATCTGGTGCCGTACCTGATTATAATGATGTTGAACTCTCACCTCGTCCTGCCAATTACCAGCAAACTGAGAGAGGTTCATATCGGGATGATAGAGATGTCAATATTCTAAGATCTCATAGAAATGAATTAAGCTATGACATAAACATTAGAAGCTGCCGCAGATTGCAACAAAATGGATGTAAGTTCCTTATAGAATGTGAATAGACTATTTGTCAGTAGTTGGAATATTTAACATTATAATAACTTCTATGTGTCAGTAGTTGGAATATTTAACATTATAGTTTTGGAATAGTTTACATTATAATAACAACTTCTATGTGTCAGTAGTTGGAATATTTAACATTATAATAACTTCTATGTGTCAGCAGTTAGAATATTTAACATTATAATAACTTCTATGTGTCAGTAGTTGGAATATTTAACATTATAGTTTTGGAATAGTTTACATTATAATAACAACTTCTATGTGTCAGTAGTTGGAATATTTAACATTATAATAACTTCTATGTGTCAGTAGTTGGAATATTTAACATTATAGTTTTGGAATAGTTTACATTATAATAACAACTTCTATGTGTCAGTAGTTGGAATATTTAACATTATAATAACTTCTATGTGTCAGCAGTTAGAATATTTAACATTATAATAACTTCTATGTGTCAGCAGTTGGAATATTTAACATTATAATAACTTCTTCAACATTCATGAAGCCTTTTTACAGTTTTCATAATACACGTTGACTTAATTAGCTATTTGTTTAAAAAAATATGTTGCCTAATAGGGAAAAAAATTGACACTCACGTGTGACACAAATAATAACTGGTATTGAAGTGAGCTTACTTTATAATCATGGAGTTCCATATCAGGAAGTGGATTGATATCATAGCAGAAAAATATAGAACAGCTGAGAATTTTGGAGCAAGTTTTCTATCTTTGTTATGGTTATCCAATGAATTTCTTGTTGAACTATCATACAGTAATACCTCGAATGTTCACGAGGTTAGGTTCCAGAATCTGCCGCGGATCAGGAGGAATTGCAAATATTTGGTATGAGTTACTAATAATGCTAATAAATGCTTATTTCTTGAGTTTAATCCCTGAATATGACACAAATGATGCTCTGAAAGCACTTAAAATCCATTTAAAAGTTAGCTTAATACATGATCCTTTTTTAAAAAAAGGGTTGGTGTAAAAATAGAGTACAGTATCACCTAATGGCTATTTTTATTGCTACACTAACACATTTCAGTACATTATACTAATATTAACCCATCACTATACTAATTTATTGGCTGCTATTTTCTTTTGAGCTCACCCTAATATAAAAACAAGTAATGCATTGGACTGTAAACTTAATGACTTTATTGTTGGTCATTGTAAACTTCATGTGTCACAGAAGTCATATAACAAAGTTACAATTCAATTAAAAAAAAAAGAAAAAATACTGCAACTTAAAAATATTTAATAAAAAATTAGGAGGGTACATGCCAATGATGAATATTGATTGAAGTATTGAAGGTAAGTATGAATTAGCTGTACAGTACAGTGATAATAATGTAAATGACTGGACTGTGCACTTGTGAAGATACAGCTCCTCACAGTCTTCAGGTAGGGGAGACTCTACTGCCTGGGCTGTTTTCGGTGGGGGGTTTATACAAGGGTTTGGGTTTCCGATGGAAGAACCAAATTATTTTGTATCTGCTGCTGCTGCTGTTTTTACACAGTGGTGGTGACTGTTTTGTTTATCTCCAAGACGGAATCTAAGCCATTGATCATTTCAAAATAGGAATCCACAATCCTTTGAAGAATTGCAACTGCTGTTGAGTCCTAGAAATTATTCCCAAATGCTCAATTGGAGGAACCTCATCCTCCTCTTGTTCTTGAGCTGATTTCTCTTCCTTGCCGACTTGTCAGCTCAAGTAAGTCATCAACCATCAGGGGGTCAAAGTGGGCTTTGATAAGTGTCTTGACTTCTTCTTCTGTACAATCATCAAATCCTTCATCCCCAAGCAGATTTGTCAGCCTCACAGTCTTGTTGACAGCCTTATTGACAGCCTTATTGACAGACTTGTTGACAGCCTTGTTGACAGCCTTATTGGGAATCTCCTCCTGTGAGAAGCCCTTGTAGTCATGGACTGCATCTGGCCACAGTTTTTTCCAGCGTGCATGGAGAGTTTCATCTTTCATTTCTTTGAGGGCAGACTGAATTATGGTAAGGCACGATGCTATGGTGAATTTCTTCCAATATTCTTTTAAGGTCAAGCCTCCATCCCATCACCTGTGTTGACCTGGTGTTCAGAAAGTTATGTGTGTTGAGGGCCTTAAATGCACGGATTGTTCCATAGGTTGAATGAGGGAGGTGGTGTTGGCAATGAGGAATCCTTAATGCACGCATTGTTTCATAGGTTGAATGCGGGAGGTGGTGTTGGCAATTAGGAATTTGATCTGCTCACCATCATACAACAGATCAAGAGAGTGCCCTCCGGCATAGTCCTTGATTAGCAACACCTTAAATTCAAGACCTAAGTTGAAAAGGTATTTCTCTTCTTCAGGGAAGAAACAGGTGAAACCAGTCGGAAGCTATAACTTTGGTTATCTAGGCCTCGGGGGTTACGCATCCAGTAGACAGACCGGGCATTCATGTTCTTGAGGGCCCTGTGACTAGTAGACTGGTTTGAGCAAATGACTAGCAACATTGCCACACATAATAAACAGGAGTCTGTCCTTTTGTGCCTTAAATCCAGGAGCTTTGGCCTCTTCCTTCATCAGTTATGTGTTTGATGACATTTTCTAGTCTAATTCATGTTGAAGATCTGTTCAGGCCTGTACACCTTCTGGAGGAGGATTTGTTTGAAGGTCTCTTGGATACCACTCTGCAGCTCCTACATCAGCAGATGCAGCCCCTCCTTGCAATCTCACACTCTTTAGGTTATGATGGGTTGAAAACTTTTCAAACCACTCCCTTCCAGAGTGGGGTGATATTCCTGGCTGCGGGTCTTGTGAAGTCTCTTCAAAAAGCTCCTTCTAAAGATTTAAATCCTTTTCCTGAATCACTTTGCCCTGCTATGGGATTTCCTTATTACTATTTTAGGGCAGTCTGCAATCTAGAGAGCAAGGGCAGATTCCATCATAACAATGCGGATAGCTTTTGATGACCAATTTTCATTGACTCCATATTGACATCCTAAGATTGTTTCAAGATTTCAACAAAGCTAAAAATTTTACTCTTTCTGTTAGTGTCATCACATTCTTCTGATGCTTAGGAACACTTCTAGGAGTCTTAGACTGGTTAGGGACATAAGGCATTTTTAGGGTTTTAGAATTTAGTGAACATCAAGGAAATAAGAACTAAACCACTTTACACATGTGTATGGCAAACGCACGTGTTGAACTGAGTTGGGGGAGCATTGACTATGCCTTCACTCATACGCTAGTACACAAAGCAACCAAGCTAAAACCAAGCAGCAACAATGAATTATGGTAGCTTGCCGCTTGATAGGCTTATCTATAGCATGTCATAATGGTGCCCACAGGAAAAAAAGTTTGCCAATGGGTATATCATCAGTACAGTCTTAGTACTTTACATTAAAAAAATAAACGTTTCCTTAGGAAAGCGAAGATTTTTGGAAGAAATTTAACCCTCGAACTGTGGCATGCATTATTCTGTGGTGTGGAGCTTTTCAGAGCATTTTGAGTGTCATTTGAAATTGCATTAAATAATAATAATAATAATAAAGTTCATTTCAAAAACACGCTTCATCCCCAAAGGCTCGAAGCGCGGTACAAAGTCAAAAAAAAAACAAATCTATAGTTTACCACATTTAAAACAAACGCAACACGACAAAAACTAAGTACAAGCATACAATGGCAAAGTCTTTCTAGCCATTTCAACCATAAGCAACACATTTGACATAGAAATGTTGATACAAGACGCCAATAAGTATCTATTTTTGGAAAGGTAAATGGATGGGGATAAAGTTGGCCATATTGCCCAGCCCATAAAAAAATTGTGCTGTGTCCTTGACCTTGGAGTGCTTAAGAAAAAAAAATCTACAAAATGTCTTGCTTTCAAGTGCTCATAACATCATTAATTTTTATAGATAAACTTAAAACAAAAATCTAAATGTTGTAGCCATGTTGTAGCCAATTCATTTATCTTTCAGAAAATGTATAGTTTGCTAAGGTTTTGATTGCAATTAAACCTCTGAAAGCAATTTTAGTAATTTTAGGTCATTTATATAAGAAACTGGAACCACTGCTAAAATCAAGTACAAAATCTCAGGCAAAATAGTTATTATTGACTAGCAAACATTTAAAAAGGAACTGTGGAACTGATTTGGGTTGTTTAACTATAAAATTTATTAGTTCTGATCTATAATCTGTAGCTTCTGTGACTAAAATTCAGTCAGTCCTTGCCCAAGCTCCGGGCCTGGCTCAAAGTCAAACAGTATCCTCAGTAGGCCTACTTCAGTATCACTAAGACTAGTATCAGATTCACGAAAAGAAGAATCTGAAGTGAGATGTCATGGGGAATGTTAAAATCATTATCAGTATCACTTAAATCCTCTCCTAAAAAGCTTTCAAAAATATTTATATTAGTTATCGCACTGAAGGCCCGGCCACTGCTTCCGCCATTTTAGCTTTAAAAAAAGCCAGCGTTATAAAACTAGGATTAAAAAGTACTTATATTTAAGTTATCAAGAAAAAGCTTGAACTGGAAGAAGATTTAATTATTAATGAAAGGAAGGGGGTATAATTCCGGTTAAATATTGGATTGGAAGTTGCTATCGGATTGTGTTTTTAATCGGCCGATTTTTTCGGCCGCCACAGCACAGAACGAGAATATCAGCCGACGAAATCGGCCGATTACAGTTCGAACGTTAACTGATTTCTTGTATGTCCTTAACTTACCCCTGTAATAATCAATAGAAATTGCATTGACATTTTCCTTACAGATTTTCCTTATTTTATTGAATTTTACCTTCATTATATGACTTCTGTGACACATGAAGTTTACTTTCCAGACAATGACAAAGAAGCGTCAATCATTAAGTTTACAGTCCAATGCATTACCGGTACTTATTTTTACCTTAGTGCGAGTGCAAAAGAAAACAGCAGCCAATGAATTAGTAAAGTATAGGGGTAACATTAGTATGCCATATTGTAAAT